GAAAGGAACATAACAAGCTGAAATTAGCAGAAATAAGTTAATTAGGCGAAATGTAGCAAAACCACAAAAAACTTGGTTATCCGAAAACAGCTGAAATTAGCTGAAATGCTAAAACGGTAGCTGAAAAGGTAGAACAAGCTTAAATTAGCAGAAGACAGCAGAAAGAACATGTTTGCCCAGTTAGACTGAAAGAATCAGAAATGAGCACAAAAATTAGGAAATTAGCTAAAACAGCTGACATTTGTAACAACAACGAAAAACAGTTGAAAGCAGAAATAAGCTTAAATTTTAAGCTTAAATTTAGCTGAATTAGGCTGAAAAAAGTTTAAATGAGTGCAAAAATTGTTGAATCATATTGTCTTCATTGTGTCCTTAGTGGTAAATATCTGGACATTCTGTCCCAAGCCTTCATAATCAGCTTCCTCTATGTCTCCCCAGTTTTTCTGTTTTGATGCAACATCAGCTGTTTTGTTAAATACATCAGTTTTCTTTATTTTAAGTTCCTCACGTCTATCTGCACTCTGGGCTCAACACTTTACTAAACATGTTAGAATCAAACCAAAGTTGATCTTAAATCAAACTAAACTAAGATCAGCTCAACTTAAACTAAATTAATTCATTAAACTAATTCAACTGAGTCTTATCAACTCAACTCAAACTAAAATGAAGTCAATTAGGTCAAGCAGACTCAGGTTAAACTAAATTAAGATCAACTAAGTGAAACCAAGTTTAGCTTAACTTTAAACCAAAAATAACTAAACTCACGCTAAACAAAAGTAAAATTAAATGAAGTCAATTTGGCTAAGCTCAGTTAAATCACAGTTTATTTCAATTCAGACTAAATCGAGATAAACCAAAGGTTTAGTTCAGCTTAAACTAAACCTACCTGAATTAGAATAAACTAAACCTGAATAAACTGAACTAACTTTGACAAACTAATATCTGTATTATGTCATTATGTTGAGTGGGCGTACAGCTGATTTATAAAATGGCCGACTAATGCTCCTCAGGAAAACAAGCAACACGTTTACAGATTGACTCACTGCACCAACCTGAGAACAGATGCAGCATAAAGGTTGGTGCAAAATAACAATCTAATTAAAGAGCAGCCACTACAGACAGAGATCCAGCTAAAGTTCAAATGTTATTTAATTTTGTTCAAACTCCTGATACTTGTAGAAGTTTAGTCAGAGGCTCTTAAATATCACCGAATCATTGGAGATGGGAGGAAAATCTAATTAAAGTCATCCGAGCAAATCAATGAAATTACACTTCACACTATGGTTTAGTAGCTTCTTTGCAAATATTAGAAATTATAGATGCAGCTTTCTCTTGGCCAGTGGTAAAGATAATATTAGACCTGCTAACAGCACAAAGTGTAAAAGTCAAAAAAGTCCAGTTAAAAGTACATTTAGCTTCAGAATCACCCAATAAACCCAGTCCACCTGCACTTGATTTAATCTCAGTATAATCCAGCTGTTCTGTGAGCCGTTTGTTATGATCAAACAGCATCATGAAGACCAAGAAACACACTGTACAGGTCAGGGATAACGTTTTTAAAAAAAGCAGGGTGAAGTAATATAACAATAATGTGACAAAACGTCTCAAAGGTCAATGAGTTTAAGTACTTCAAGGCTCTGTGTAGAATGTGTAACTAGTACTTCTGTAAAGAAAGTAAATATATTTGTCTTTTAAATAAATACTATGACCAGATGAGTCCTGATTTGTTTGGAAATCAGCTTTTCTGTCCCAAACTGTACGGATGATAAGTACACACATTTATTCTTTTAGTACACAAATCATTGTGAGGTTACAATGTCATTTTGTAAATGTTGTTGATATTACTCAGCTGAAATGAATCATAAATATTTTATATTGATACTTGACATTAGATCATTATTTTGTGTGAATGCTGAACCGGCAGTAGTAGTAGTAGTAGTAGTAGTAGTAGTAGTAGTAGTAGTAGTAGTAGTAGTAGTAGTAGTAGTAGT